ATCATGGGTAGTTGAATTTTTTCAAACAGTTCAATTCGGTGGTCATTATTTTTTAATTCACCCACTAGCAGAATTAAATCACAGATCTTCTAAAATACAATTTAAAAATGAGCCTTACAAACAAAGACAATGTTTTAACCTGCTTTGTCAGCTGGGACCAGTATATACTGATCGTGTTATCTATCTAAATATTTTTTTCACTTCTGATTTACTGAAGAAAGAAGGATAGATGCTTTTCATTTTACCCCTAAATCGCCTAATGCGAGACTTCAACATACATCTGATACTTTTAATCCATTCTAACAAAGTGCCAATGTCTTCTTTTTCATGTTTGGCCCATCGCCTGGCTTAATCTTCCAGAGAATTCATAATATTTATGAAAGTATGACGCCAGTTGAAAGATCGGGGTTCCCTAAAGGATCAGTGCACTTAAGCTATGAGAGTTGGGTCCCGCTGCTTTGCCAAAAATAAATTTCCGAAATTTATAAACTTTTTGAATAGAATTTTTAAACAATATCTGAAGAGCAGGATTTGATATATTATATCACATGGAAATATTAAATAATGCCGAGCGACACTGGTTTTTGCGACGGAGGTCTAGCAGTTTTGTCACATTTCAATTCTATTGATATTCATGTGCATACCAGTTTTCAACGACATTGTTTATATCGAGCCGCAACTTGTCCATTCGTCTCATTTGCACAGAATGTGTATTTTGATCTAAACTTATACATATCCAAAGGGCAATGTTGGACAATTTGCGGCTCATATGTAATTTTTTGAAAAATTCTCCAAACTTTGGTCGAGTTAGCTACTAAATTAACTGGTCACCGAATGTCAACCTATTTTGACCCGTTTGATATAATAATCACTTTACTCACGTGACATTCCACTGTTCGATATGCTTTTATTGTGTCTGTCAATCTAGGGCTGTACACACGGATATGTATTTAAGTACAAAATCTTACTACATGTATATATAGACTTTTAATACAGTGAATCATAAGATTTTTCGAATCTTATAAAACTTTATTAAGAATAGGACAATGCTCTATTTCTTATACAAGTCTTAGCTTACCTTTCATTTTTAAACCAATCAGAAGTATTCACATTGGGGTCATCCTATTTTTATCATAACAAAAAAAGCACGTGGTATATAATGGTCGACTTTAGCAGTAAAATATGTTTTATGGGAAGGAGATCAAAAGGAGTAACTACATGTGATTGTAAAAGTTGCTCAAATGCTGCATTATCTATTCTAAAGAAGTTTTTATAACTTCTGGGGTCTAGCTTCTCTTTGCACCTCATCTAGCGACGCATTATGTGCACCAAGTACATGTATAAGTGTTCCGCCGCTGTTTCCATTATGATGGTCTTTTCAGTTGTAATGCAGTGCATAATACTATAACAGATACAACTGTACTAGCTGCTGACAGAACCTCGTTTTCCATTATTGAGAGAGAGAGAGAGAGAAATACATAAAGTCTATTAACAATCTAATAAGACATGTATAAGCGTGTGTACAAGAAATTATAATAATACATATATAATACTTGCTTTATATTACAATTCTCGCCGTGTGTACCGGCTTCAAAATATTGAATAATTTTGCGAAAATTTTATTAGGGTCTTAAAGTTTACCTTGTCTTCTTTCACTAAATTGTGTTTTTCGTTAATTTTGAAGGAAATTCTGGTATTGCCAGTGCAATCGGATGCACGATACAATGTCATGGGTCAAGCAATACAATACAAAATAAAAAAAAAACCAGAGAACACAAAATGTTTATAAATAAACAATAAGCGCAATTTAAGTAATTTACTTAATATATGTTTCACCGATGTGGACCTTTTATTTCTTAATTCTAATGATTGTTTCATAAAAGTGCAAACAGCCGGTATAACTTCAAGTATTGGACTAGGAATATATTCAAGTTTCTGTATGGGTGATTTGAGATAGAATGAGGAGAAAAATTTTCTTGCATGGTTTTTATAAGTATATTCCTTGCTTGTATATTACAATTACATTGTAAAAAGAAATGAAATCCATTACATGAAGTGCATAATCTTTACAGTGAGATAGTTTGTATTTCTTGGAATTTGCATGTTAACCTAGCAATTCAAATTTTTAGTTAAAATTTTATATTTCATTTCCGAATGTTGTTTATCTATGCATGTATATAATAAAATATGTAACATCGTGAGTACTACATACATGTATACAATAATTGTTTCACTACACGTGTTTGTATTACTATGTACTACATGTACAATTAAATGTAGTGTGACATCGAAGACATGTAACTGTGAATCTTTCCTAAAATATACGTTCATTCTTTGAATTGAAAAGCACTTAGCAAATATAATGAAAAATGATAAAGCTAAAGTTAAAAAAAAGGAGGGGGGTCTTCTTTATACATATGTATACATACAAAAACTTAAGATTGAGCTGACTCGGTGCTAGGCAGCAAACATATCGATACAAATCATGAAAATGGTCAATATGTATGGCCATGAATCATTTATTCTTTGTGTGAATCATGAAACTACAAATCTCTCTCTCCTCCATTTGAATTCATACTGTGGAATCAATATTGAAATAATGTGCAAATGTTTACATTCCACTTACATGCGATTTAAATATCTCCGCCCATTTGCGGGTATCTTAAATTCGAAACTGGTCCAGTTTAAGTTTCCGGAATTTAAGGCTTATACATGTTCTTTTCAATGACGTTTTGTGGAATTATAGAAATATGTTTAACAAAAAAATCGAAGTACAAATATCAAAAGCATATGTATGCACAATAATCATAGATTAATTTAGCAATATAGTCTAATTCAAGGCTTAAAATGGGTGGCCGAAAAGGTTCCAAATGACACTCTAAAGTGCACTCATTCTTTTTACCCTTTTAAAATAAGTGATTTAAAGTCCTTATTATTATCTATATTTAAGTCATCAGTGATGATGTGTCAAGCAGGATTATAGTTGTAGGGTGAAGAAGAACTTGAGCACGTTGGAGGGTTATGTTTTAGATGTTTGATATCTAGGCAGTGTAGAGTTCTTTTGTACTTAAAAGGTTTGGATGCACTAGTCGATTATGTTTAAAGAAATACAAGGTTTGGACTTCAAATTAAAAAAACATATTGTTTGATTGAATCTACTGTATAAACGAGTAACTCACGAAATTACGTCCACACAAGAAGTAATTTTTTTTTGCCCACAAGGATTGACCCCCCACGAATTCAAATGATTCCACAGTAATTGTTGACTTCGATATCTTATGGTAACCGCAATGCTGGAGCCAACCTGAAAAACTCTTCGTCAGTAAAAAAAAAAAACAGAAAAATTTTATTTAAGCTCATTTAATCTATTGAATTAAAAGTTTTCTAATTAAATTTAATAATCTATATTTAGTTGACAACTTGTTTCTGCACTGCGTAAACATGGACATATCGTATAAATGATCAATTATATGTATACCATCACAAATACTCCTTGCTTCATGGTGAAAATTATTTATTTTTATACTGCTGCTAGGTACAAAATTATTCAATTACATGCATAATATGGAAGATAATATAATACTTCAATATTTATATTTGTTTTCATCAGTTTGACACATAATTACGTGTAGTTTTATTCGACAAGTAGTATGCAAGCATGGAATGATATGATATTCCACAGTATCAACAAGCAGCAACTGGAAATTCCGATGTTCATATGGAGAAATTATACCTCTTCGATGAGATAAACACATGTTTTATTGCATAAAAAACAATTCTCTTCAGCTTCTCTGGACAATTCAATTATATCCTTTTTCTTCACATTTTCAACTTTTTTCTTTTAACAAAAGACATCCACTCTCTCTCTCTCTCTCTCTCTCTCTCTCTCTCTCTCTCTCTCTCTCTTATGCTATCTGATATAAAGGTAACGAGCCTATAATTAATTTCAAAGACCACGTCATCACAGGAATGCCACTGAACAACTAGATTAAATCTAGCAACTGCCTGCCACCATGTCGTTAGACAATAAACATTGATTGAATTTGCTGATGTTGTGCATTGGATATTTCAATTTTCAACTTGGTCACATAAATACTTATTGGTATATCATATAGGAATTAACTCGGTGTCATTTCAATTTTACGCCTTCTTTCCATTTATATGGACTTGGTTTTTTGGTAATAATTGTGAACTTCATAAAAATGAACAAAAGTTTGCTAATAGAAAGAAATAAAGAGCATTGAATTAAAAAAACAATTTTCTAAACTTTGGAGTGCTTTGTTATGACAGAAAATATTATTAAGAAATATATGGAGATAACGAAAAATATTTAAGCTCAAAAGTCCATTTAACAATACAAAATAGGAGCAGAGCAAACACGGACCTCAAAAACATCAGAGGTAGGATAAGGTGCCATGGAGGAGTGAGCATCCCCTGCCGACCGGTCACACCTGCCGTGTGCTCCAAGTCATGATTGGCAAATAACGGAAAAATCCGTCGACAATTCAGTGTGTAAATAATGGCCTAACAAGATATAAGATATCATTAAAAAGAGAAAGATTTATTTTCGTATCACGCCAAAAAAGAAAGCCATATTGAGATTGTTATAATTAAGAACTAATAACGGAAATACTTAGAGACAGTTTATTATTATCCAACTTTATATCCCCGAAACATAGATTATTTTTGTTCTAAATTTAAATCATCTGTCCCTCTTAATTAGTTTTCATTCCTAAGTTTGGACCAAGAATTAAAAAAATTTAGGTAAAATATTGAAGGAACTGTAGAACTTCACGTAGGATTCTTTTTTTTTTCAAATTTAACATTTAAGAACTATATAATTCAAAATATGAATGATATGGAACCAAATTGTTCTTTGGAATGATTTACTTTACACACATTCTTTAATGATAATTTTAGAAGTATAAGATCTAAGAGGTCAGAAAAAATATCCCATCTTCAAAGAATTTCTTAATGAATAACAATTAAAACAAAATGAATTTGGTGTCAAAATGATTTATTTTCAAACATAATCTATATTTCCGTCCATTTTGCACAAGCCTTCTCTCAGACTACTGATTAATACAGACGAAAGCCAGAAAATGAATTGGCAGAGTACTTATATTTGTATGTGTATGCGGATTTCCATTTCGGGGAGGTTTGGACCCAAACCTTGTTTCCTCGTCTTAGGTGCAAGATTGCCATATTGCTCCCCATGTTGTAAGCTGAGGATAGCCTTCCAGACACAGACTCAACTACTAATCTTCCATTTTTCACCAACCAAAGAGCGTCTCCTTTGCCTCGTTGTGGCATGGATGTGAAGTAGAAGACGTACACTCCAGTTGAAGGGGCACGGAAAATGCCACGTCTGTACCCTCTGCCTAAGTTGTATGTCACACGAGAGTATCTTATGATCTGCTTAGCAAGATGTATTTTCTGATCGCCTAAATATGCAGTGAAGGCCACCTTTCTCGGTCCTGTAATATACCTTGAACACTTTAAAAAACGGGGAATTTTTAAAAGTTTTGTGGTCTGTAGGTCTATACCTTTGTGTATAATTTGATTGTAAAGAGTACTAGGTACAAAAATGCATTTTTACTTAAAAGCCAAACTTATGATTATGACAATATATTTTTTGAAGAAAAATGTAAATGACAGAGAAGAAAAAGTCTAAATCTATCTTACATTTAACCAAACTAAAATACAAACATGACCAGGGAAACGTTAACAGAAATTAAGTCCTATATTAATAGAATTTAAAAACGATTTCATAGAAATAAAAACGTGATCGTTCACAACCTTTCACAAAGATTAACCTGAAAGTTGTCTTGTGTAGCCATTGGTGCTCTTTTGATAATAAATATCTTTGTTTACCAACACCGTGTAATGCAAGGTACCTTGATATGTTAGAATTTTAACTTAAACTTTACTGAGAACTTAGTTCTTTATAAGCATACTTCAACAATTTTTTCAATTAAGGATATCCGTATCTTAGCCAGGCACAATAACTCTTGAAATTATCCTTTAATTGAATAAGTCTCAAAATGAATCATTATTTATCTAATGATCTGTAATGTCTTATGATATCATTTTTTTACTTTTTTAACACTATGTATTTATAAAAATCGAAGTAAATAGAAGAACTAAAAATCTCATATAGGTATTAAAAATGCAAATTTCTAAAATGCAATGCTTATTACGGATGCCTGGAAACCTATTTTTTTCTTCTAGCTGAAATATACTTATCCATCAATTTTTAGTTAGCAAATGCATACTTAACTTTTCGGAAAATATATTTGAGATTTGATAATTTAATACTTGATATCGTTATAACTTAAATTAACGGAACTCTTTCGTAGGTGTCAATTTGCTGGGGTAATCACTCTCTATCATCGGCTTATACATTCACCTCTGTCGTTGGCTCGTGTATATCACAGTTATAAGCACGAGAAATAGTGCGTTTGTTTCAATTAATTACATGTATAATCAAATTCCTCTACTTATGTTTGTACTTGAATGTAGATATTAATATTTACAAATGCCTGTACTTATGTTTGTACATGAATGTAGATATTAATATTTACAAATGCCTGTACTTATGTTTGTACTTGAATGTAGATATTAATATTTACAAATGCCTCTACTTATGTTTGTACTTGAATGAAGATATTAATATTTACAAATGCCTCTACTTATGTTATTACTTGAATGTAGATATTTACTATGTAGATCTAGAACTATAAATTTAATTTGAAATAATCCTTGGAGCATCATGTTTGTTTGTTTTTTGTTTGTTTTTTTTTTTTTACTTTATATCAAAAATCTTGACGCTTACCCATTGCAGAAGGGTCTAATAGGGACGAACGACAACTCTACAAGGGAGAATAGGTGGTATTGTGCTCGTGAATACAAACATGTAGGAGACTGGTTTCAGGATGGTGTATTTTATGTATTGTGTGTTTTCTGTGTCTTAATACACTCATTAAAATAAAAATCAAAAATCGCTGAAATTAGCTTTTTTATTATTTTTTTTTTAATCATATTTCTGTATATAAAAAGACACGTGTATTTTTATATAAGAAAAAGAATTCTTTTGACTGCTAGGACATATTAGTCAAATTGAAGGATCCCCATTTTGTGTGGATTCAGAGGCCTCTAAGAGTTAGGGTGGGACCATAAATAATATGAATCACAATTTTTCATGAAAATATAAAAATATCTCTTTTTTAAAGAAATCTTCTTAAGAACAGAAGTGATAAAGTTACTCGACTACTCAATTGGGCATTGTGGCTCAGGGACCTTTTCTGGTGAGAAGAAAATAAATGATCTGCCCTTGATCGTCTTAAAAATAAATAATCTGCCCTTGACTAGCATGAAAATAAATATTCTGACTCTAAAAATATTTGCTAGCCCATCCCCCATCCCCTGTCAGAATCAAATGGTCGTCCTCTTACTGTACTCGTGAATTTTTGTATGAACTATAGACAACATACAGTTACAATCTAAAATTTTGTCATTGATATTCATTTTTATTCTTATCATAGCTGCAGAACTGTATCTCTCTGCTTGAGAAAATTTGGACAGATAAAGCAGAGAGCTACAGATCCAAACGTTGTAAAAAAAAAAAAAAAAAAAAAACTTCGATTTTTTTTTTTTTTTTTTTTTTTTTTTTTTTTTTAATTTATTTTTTATTTTTTTTTTTTTTTGTCGCTCGCTTTGGGCATTATTTCTTGTATTTTATGCTTTTCCCTGCTTTAAATATCCAATAATTATACATATCCATATATTTTACACCTATTCCTCATACTTTATTTACTTTTCAACGCTTCCTAACGGCCGTATGTGGTTTTGGAGTATCAGTTAAAAAAAAATACATTCCGACGTCCATGTTCGTCTTATCCTGAAATAACACGCCCGAGTTTTATTTAACTCATTTCTTTTTTACATACATAATGTCTTCTTTATAGACACTATACATGATATTTGAGCCTCCTAATTTTTTTTTATTTACATTTTGTCGGCAAGTGTATATTCTTTGAAAGACTTTTTTTCGCACGACCCGGCGCCAACATGGACGTTGGAATGGGATTTTTAAAACCGAAATTCCAAAACCATAAAAGGATGTTTGGGACATTTGAAAGATAAATAAAGTATGAAGAATAGAAGTAAAATATATGGTTAATTATTGGATGCCATTCTTAAAGCAGGGAAAAGCATAAAATACAAGAAGAAATACCTGAAGTGAGCGATAAAAGAGCGGCATGCATAAATTGAAGGTTTTTACAACGCTTGGATCTGTAGCTCTCTGCTTTACCTGTCCGAATTTTCTCAAGCAGAGACCTACAGTTCTGCAGCTATACTTATCAATGATGTTTTGCTTTAACAACCTTTCCTACTCCACCATCTCCTTTTAAGATGAGGCGTTGCCCGGGTCTCAGGATTCTTAAAATTTTCTTCTCGGGTCAATGGATTCTTTTCGTCATCCTCTATTGTCGGGGTCTCAGGTTTCTTAAAATTTTCTTCATCCTGTATGATAATGAAGACGAAACATTAAAGAAAAGAAACATACATCTTAAAACATGTATCAGATATCTTACCAACTACAAAACAATATTCGGATTTTTCTTCATTCTGACTTCGATACTACGCAACATTTGTTACGAAGGCGGTCGTTCAGAATATCTATTTAATATCTTTCTTTCTTTAAGTTACCGATAGAGCTGTCTCCAAAGCTGCGAACACAACCAAACTGATCAGACACAGGTTAGAAACTCTAGCAAACATTTTGTTGGATACCTGGAACAAAAATGTTACACAACGCATATCAGTCAATTTATAAAGTGGGAATGCTAAAGATTCCCTAAAGTTTCTTTGCAATGGAAACTAATATATATATATATATATATATATATATATATATATATATATATATATATATATATATATATATATATATATATATATATATATACAGTTGAACTTAAGTATCTCGAACACTGATATCTCGAATACCATGGATATATTGAAGTGAACTGGAAGTCTCAACCCCTTATTCCTTAAGTATTTTACCCTGGATATCTCGAAGTTTTCTACTGGCCCTTTTAAGTTCGAGATAACGAGGTTTGAATATTAATTATATATATATATATATATATATATATATATATATATATATATATATATATATATATATATATATATATATATATATATATATATATATATATATATATATATATATATATATATATATATATATATATATATATGAACTTTCGAGGGAAAATGAAAAACGAGACTTTGCTTTCGTGTAACATACATGTATACCGACTAATTCATTCAACAAGAAAGGGTAAAAATACATCTCTGTTTACATTAAAAAAAAAATATCAGTATGATAAATGGATGATATCGAAAAGTATTCTCGGCTTTAAGAAAAAAAATATAAACACTTTAAAATAAATGGAATATAACAATATGAATTTCATAGTGATGAAAAAAACATTCATTATGGTGAAGTTAATACCGTGATTTACAAGAGTATAAAATTTGACGCTTATATAGACGATGGATGTAGATTTACTACAAGTGGTAGCGGATTCGGAACATCTAATTTTAATTAGATTGATAACTATACTGCTGAAAAAAATCGTCAGCTACGCCAGTGCACATGTAAAATAATTTACAAATTATATGCTATATATATTTTCTTTTCAACATAGGTAAACAATATTTCAGCATACATGTATGTTATAAAAGGAACGCTGTCAAGATATTGCAAAAGGGGGGGGGGGCATAAAGAAGGAAATGCTCTATATGTAAGTTTAAAACTCTGTAAGCTTAAAATGAAATTAAACATAATATGGTCTATTGGATCAGATTTAGTGAGAATTTCTCTAACAAGAATAAGAAGCAGCGAAAGGTTCATAGTTGATAAATGCTACTCATCACTACTCACAACCAAAATCTACAAAAATATCAAGTAAAAATAAAGAAATAGTGGAATAATATTATAGTTACAGTGCAGGAAACTAATTTTGTTACAGCATCAATGCTGATTTGAATGCTTCCTTTGCTTGCTGATTTGAATGCTTCCTTTGCTTGCTGAATTAATGCTAGTAATCCTTATCCTGATGCTGTTTTATAATTAGGTCAATGCTACCGGAAGTAGCATCATGCTACCGGAAGTAGATAATGAATTTCAGCATTGCCGTTTAAAGCAATAAAAGTGCCTTTTACAATTATTTGATCATAATATCTCACTATGTATCAATAATGTGAATACTTTAACCAATATTCTTTCTTTCTTTTTTAATTTTTTACTGAATTAAAACTCATTGATTTTCTGATGGTAGTAGGATAATGCTGATTTTATGTAGGTCAATGCTGGTTTTATCCTTTCCTTGCTGATGCTGATCCTGGTAATGCTGTTTTTTAAATGCTGATGCTGATGCTAGCTCGATCCTGATGCTACTAATGCTTATGCTGATGTTGGTTTATGTAACAAAATTAGTTCTCTGCACTGTACCAGTTCCTTGTCAGCATTCAGAATATGATGTGAATAAACAGAGACCACTATTTTATTTCATTTATTTTCTTCTGACACATGTTGTTTTAGCATCAATAGTTACCTTAGCATTCCTTGTGCCGTCTTTTGTTCTTAATTGACAAATATATTTCATTTCAGTTCATTATTATAATGCAAATTATTTCGTTTTGCTTGCCGATTAATTTGATAGTTGCGATAATATTTTTATTGCTTTATTTTGTAAAAATACCAACCTGTTGCTCGTGTAGATGATAGGGACGTGTCCATGTGAATAAGACTCTGTGGGTGTTGAATGATATGTTTCGATACAACCTGTGTCATGTTTGTTAAACTTGAAGCAATAAAAACAGCATGTTACTTTTTTAATATAAAGGATACTCTTCATAAAGTAATACTGATGTTATAATTTTGTCGAGTACAACCTGCTCTTCTATCAAATAAACCAGTCACGGTAGCCTAGTGGTAGGGCGCTCGCCTCGTGATCGGGAGATCCGGGTTCGATTCTCGTTCGCCTCGCCGCGTCAAACCTAAGACGAAAACACAGGTAGGATGAGACCTTAAAAACCGAGGCCCTGAGTCACTGTAGGCGTTGGCACGATAAAGAAACCTCACTGCTCAATGGCTCTGAGTGCCAAGTAAAGGTCTAAATTTGTAGCCCTTCACAGGTATGACGTCTTTACATGAATGAAAAATTCTCGAAGGGGACGAAACACAACATACAATCAATCAATCAACCCAAAGGACATCAAGCAATGATGTCATATATTTATACAATAACCATCTTTTGGATTTAAATTGTGCACATTTGTACAATTTCTTTGTCATTTTGAATTATAATCTTTCTTTAATATAAAAACGGGGGGTAGAATTTTAAATTTTACTTCCTATTATTCAAAGATAAAAAGCAAGTATTCCGGATGAAGAAATGATCAGGAAGCGTCGAGGACAATATTTACCTTTCAGGATCAGTAATTTCAATAAGAAATAGGATAAAAACCCTCCCAAAAGAAGTACTTTTTTCTGACATTTTTGAATAATTTTTTTTCCTGAAACACATGAACAAAATTAATATTTTCCAAGTGAGGAAGAGCTATATAATTTGCGCTGAAATTATGATGCATTATGTATACCTAAGACTTTTACCTAGGATTAGGAAAGTGAAACATTTTACACTGAATTCCTGTAGATAAAACATGGGGACATTAAAAAATACAAAAATCATAGTTAAGACCTTTACATTTATACGAACAGATATGGCCATTCAGACCCATCTAGGATCGAATTTTATGTCAGGGCTGTTTCAAAAGGTCATACATGAGTCAGATATTATACATTTATTGCATGATAGTGAGGGAAATATGAAGATTTATTCAGCCAAGAAATATTATATTCCCCGAGGGCTTCGACCGAGGGGAATATATTTCTTGGCTGAATAAATCTTTATATTTCCCCACATTCATGCAATGAATTGTTTATTATACCCAAACAAGCAAAAACTTTGAAATAAACATAAACTTTCAAATTCGGCACCGCCCTCAAATTCACTTTCATTTTTGACGTAAAGTTACTGAAACCCTTTGACACATCACTAATCATCAATTTTGTGACGTAAGCCAGGCTATTATGACGTCTACTACTCTCGGGAGTTTTCTTTCAACGAACGATAACTATTGCGGGAAAATGCACTAGGTATCCGAAGAGGGGGAATATGATGAAAAGCATGCCGACGACCGTGAAATATGAAAGTTTTATGGCCAGATCACGTGATAATCTAGAACCAATCAGATAACGCGTTGTGTAGAATAATTATAATGAGGTATAATAATAAGGACAGATGATACAAAAAAAAAAAAAATGGATGCCTGGATTGATAAATATTTTTGGACCTATTCTGGTTGTAAATGATGCAAATAATAAATTTCTAAAACGTTAAGAAATTTAAACTTTGTCTGATGTTTAAATTTCTACCTTTATTAATCTATACAGCTTTCTGTCACTTTATATCTCGGTATTGTGAAACTTTGAAAATTAAAAGCTATATGCTGTTGAATGTATTCATATTACTTATATAAACATGACTTAAGTTGTTATTTTCAAGATTTTTGATAAAAGTTTGTTTGTATCATCTGTGCTTGAGCAGTATAAGTCCACTGCGTACAATCCCTGGTCCAGGGGCGCTTGAACCCTTTCTTCAGACTCTTAAAATATGCTGAATAATATATATTATTTACAGTTTGAAAGAAGACGCTGATTAAAGGGCTTGATTTTTGCTATTTGCTGAACGACAATTTGTTCAAGAGTCTTGGTATTCAGTTTCTTAAAATTGACCGTCACGGTAGCGCAGTCGGTAAAGCGGTCGCTCCGTGATAGGAAGGTCGTGTGTTTGAATCATGGCCGCGACTGACTTAAGTCAAAAAAAAATACGTTGCAACTATTCCTTCGCAAAGCGCTCGGCAATTTGAAGTGAAAATAGCGGGTCCTTCGGATGAAACCTTAAAAACCGAGGCCCCGTGTCAAGGTAGGCGTTGGCACGATATAGAACCCTCACTGCTCAATGGCCCTGAGTACCGAGTAAAGGTCTAAATTTGAAGTCCTTCATCGGTCTATGGTGACGTCTCTATATGAGTGAAAAATTCTCGAAGGGGACGGAAAACAACATACAATCAATCAATCAATCTTTAAAATTGTATTTGGTCACACGATCAGAAGTCTGTGGGAATGGTTGAAGGAAAAAATGGTTGACTGAGACTAGTGATCTTGTTTTTTTTAGACGGTGGATTTAATTTCATAGAGAGGCTAGCTTGCACTTCATATATGAAATAATTTGAATATCAGTTTTCCTCTGAATACCCGTGAATAAAAGGGCTATATTTTCTGAAAAAGTCTGCTATTGCAAAGACCACGTGCATTTTAACATGTTATTTTGTAGAGAGAATATCTCTTGCTTAAAAAAACTTTTAAGTCAACCAGTTTTTTGTCAACTTCATAACTATGCATTGCATAGTGTGACTCTCAGCCTATAACAATTAGGAACATTAACACAGTATTGACCAGTGTTAAACTGGTTTTAGAATCTACAAACAAAAGTTTGTCTTTGGTGAAACCTTAAGATATTTCAAATTTTAAAGAGAAAATAATGTTTGTAAAGACATTTGAGGATAACTTCAATTATAATTAGAGTGTTTGTATGAATAACTTTTGGTCGATCCTTATGCTCAACTTTTGAATGTTCAATAGAAAAAATGAGATTGATTATCTGGCAATCTTTCAGAATGATGCAGCATGCTTATCATTTGATTCCAATAAAACTATAGTTATTAAGAATAGATGTGCATTATACACTGGAAAATGACATACTTATTCAGTTAAAAGTGATTGCATAGAGATCATCGAGATTTCTAGTACTGAAAATTGACGGTGCATATATATCGTGCATGGACTTTCAAAAATTCGATTTTGTCACAAAGATAGTTCGCACAATAATCGATGACAGTATTGACAAAATTGGCAATGCAAAACTTTGACAATAAGCTTCATGTGGTGAAGGGTTACTAGTAAGCACTCCTAACTGAAAGCTTAAGAGTGCCTAGAAATTATCAACCTTGAAGAAGGAAACGCCTATATCCATGAACAAATCATCAATAGTAACTCATGGAACGAACATCTTCGAATCATATTTGCATTTTTCTATATTCTGGCTAAAGCGAATTTGTTAGCCTTGAACCTCGCTAAAAGCTTCTGTTGAGTATTTAGGTCATAAAATAGTTTTTCAACGTCTACTATGGCGCAAGCGAAAGCTATCGCATAGTCCCTGAGTCTTACAAAAAATAACATTTTTGGACAAGGTTGGGTTTTAAAGAAAATTTCTGTCCGTTTTCCTCAGCGTTTGGTTCACTTGCCAGTCTTTTTTAAAAGGGGTGGGTTAATTTTAAATGGACAAAAGACTGTAATGAATCAGGACGAGGAAGCAGTCTTAAACTTTAGTCAAAATTTCAGTCATTCATAAAATGAATATTGATTATAAATTAATACTTGAAAATTAAAATGAACTAAATAAAAGAGAAAGAATTTTCAATAACATTTTAAATTTTGTCTGTTTTCTATAATAAACATTTCTGACATGTGCTCCATGATCCCGGGGCCAGTTCAGCCCCAGATGTTGCTAATTAATCCAAGTTTACCGTTGATGCTAGTGATGTAGGAATCGGGGTTGCTTTGTTTTAGATCAGGTGAAAACTTTGATGGAGTTATTATTTTCAAAGAAACTTACAAATGTCAGGCAAAGCGCGTTTATATACATGAATTATCCCAAACTATCGTTGCTGTCCCTGGCATACCCAACAAAGTAGCTAAAACAGTGATTCCTTATACATGAATTCACATTTATATGTGAAAGAAAAGTGTAAGTATAAATAATGAATGTAGGATAGATTAACCATGTTAATTTCCATAGTCCCCAACAACAGATGTCAGACACAAAGACAGCTGCGAGAGATTGACATGCCTATAAGGCACTTGACCTTTCTCTTGACGAAATTTACATTCAGTTGTAATTATCTAACTTTCAAAGAAAACAGTTGGAAGTGTACATATTTGAATAATACTGTTTATCCAATTGTATAAAGACTTATAAAATCTAGTTTGTTGTTACAGTGTTGATGGTGTAATTAAGCAAAGACAGTATCACAGATGCCTTGTCAGGAGTATCACGAATAATCTATATTTTGCTGTATTTCTTTTTACTTTGATTTGACGATATATATATATATATATATAAAGATGTCACTAACATATTGTCAGTTCTTGTCCCTGGTACGTATGACTACCCCCATCTTTCTCACATTGAAAACCTTTACTTATTATCACTTGATTCTTGCTTCCTGCTTTTGGGAAAATCTGCAGAAGTGATTATTATTATTTAACAGTTTTGCTGATTTTTAAAAATTGAAAAGCTTGGGTTCTTTTCCACTTTAATAAACAAGTTTTATA